CCCCCCCCCGCCGCAAACACCGAACGAAAGAAAAAAAATGAAAGATTCCACCAGCAAAATCCCAATTTAGATGTGGGGAGGAAAATTTTTTTCATACATCGTTTTTTATGTCTTTTTTGCTTTTTTTTTTTTCCGCCCCCCTGGCATGACACCTTACGTCCTCAGTTGGAATGAACGTAACTCAATTTCTACTATATTATTGGGGAGGTATTGTTCTCTATCTAGAATGACTCCCAAACCAACAAAAAGATGACAAAAACTCACTTGTGTTATTAAGGATACAGAATGCTAAAAGTAATAGCCGTATTTATTATTTCTTAATGATCTTAATAAAAAAAAACTATTAAAGCTAGAGAATGCCTCAGGAAAACATTAACAAGATCAAGAAGGGATAAAGTGAGAAAAAATAAAAGAGAACAAGTTGTGACAACACCATGTTATGAAATACATTGAAAAACAACGCATTAAATGGCCCATGTGGGCCAATAAGCCCCAGCTTATTTGCCCATGTGGGCCAATAAGAGCAGCCTTATTTTATACCCCTACTTTCGCCATCCCCACCCCCTCCCCCACTCACACACACACACACACACACACACACACACACACACACACACACACACACCACTGTAAACATTGTAATATAATGTGAAAGAGCTCAAATATGTGGTAGTGTCAAGAAACAACATTAGGAATAAAGTATGATGGAAGTTACTGAGTTTAATAGAAACTGACTTGATCGGCACGGAAAAAGAAACACTATTACCGCCAGAAAACAAACTGAAAGTGAGAGGCAATAAATCGCTGGTCCTGGCCTTCAGTACTTTACTTATACTTTCTACACCCCCACACAAAATATCGACGTGCACTGGACCCGTTAAATATATGTAATAAGAACTGTCCTGTATGATGACAAAAAGTCAATTGATACTGTACCAGTGACGCTGTCCCAAGCAGATCAAGTCTACAATCAGATAGAATACAAAACTGGACAAAGTAAGCACACAACAGTTTCCGATCATTATATCATCAAATTTTCTTCATCGCACTTCTCACTTCTCAGAACAGAACACTGTGTTGTAACAAAGTGGGAAAGTGTATCAAATGCGAATTATAGAACTTGGTGTCTAGCTGGGGTGACGGTGGAAAAGGGGAGGGAGGGAGAGGGTAGGCCTGGCCCAGACTCTGACAGCCGAGTGCCTATCTCTCCTCGTTAAAATTCTCCTTAATATCTTCACTAGACAATTCCTCCTTCCGCCGGCCAGACTCCTATGGGCCAGGTAAGTTACATTGTATTAGTGGGGAGAAAACGATGAGTAAATGTCAAACAGGAACTATAGGTGGTTAAAAAGCCAATAAACAAAAAAGATTAGTGCCATGCTAACAATAAATGTTCTGATAGTAGTTAAAGAAAGGCTGAATGATAAATACATGTTTTGCTGATAAAATTATAATACATGTGTCTGTGCTGCTCAAGACAGTCTCAACCTTAATTTTGTAAGCTACAAAGAGGCCAATTTGGCAATTAAGGGATGCCCTATTCCTTCTGAGGGCTGTCGATGGATTTGTCCATGGGACGTCACCGTTAGGCCTAAGCCCGTCGTGTGTTTTGCCTCGTACGTAGTAGCCTACAAAGTTCCGCGACGTGACGGCTTGATGGGAGGGGAGACGATTTAAAGTTATGAGCCGGCGCGATAACAAACGTGAAGGAATGAGGCTCTGTCGCGACAAATAAACAGCAGTGAATCCCACTTCTCTATTTGAGCGCCTTCAAATCGGCAAGGTGCTTTTTAAAAGTTGATACATGTTTGTTTCGATTTACTTAAAACTGAATGAAAATCACCATCAGCAAAAAATCTCCTGTCACCAGTCCAGCTGAAAAAAATCAGACCGGCACCGCCGGTCTTGCCCAGTTAAGAAACCGCCCCTCGTCGACTCATATTCAAGTTAAATGGTTATCTTAAAAAAAAAACAATTATCAAAATCAAGATAAATAAAATAGATTTTAAAGGATATCAATATATCTTAAAATGTCAAAAAAATCGACGAGCACATGGTTCCACCTCTCTGTGACACAATTGTTTCAGTGAATAAGATGTTACTGCGACATACATCTATCCTAAGACACATAGAGGTTGGGTTTTTACGCCCCCATCGACACAATGTAGATAAGTTAGGAGGTGGGGTCGGCATTGTGGCTAGGGCCAACTCTGGTTGTTGTTGTTAATTTTGTTTTAATTTTGTTGTTGTTGTTGTCGTTGTTGTTATCGTTTTATTGTTGTTGATGTTGCTGTTGTTGTTGTTTCTGCTGCTGTTGTTGTTGTTATTGCTGTTGTTGCTGCTGTTGTTGCTGTTGTTGTTTTGGTATGTAAAAGACTTGAATTCTTTCTATTCTTTATGACGTTTCGTTTACTAAGTGTTCCCGTCATTCTGCTGGAAACTTGTACCCTTTAATTCTGGGTTGGCCCTTGGTGGCAGGATCGAAGCAGCAGGCGTCCTAAACGATCTAAATTGTATGTGTGGAT